TGGCGATATTTATATTTAGTACTAGATAAGTTTGGGTTTGGTAAAAATGTTTGTACATACATTAAGATGCTTTATGCAAACCCAAAATCTGCAATACTTACCAATCTGGATAAATCAGACTATATTCCTCTCTATCGTGGGACAAGACAGGGGTGTTGCCTTAGTCCCTTATTATTTAATCTGGCTCTGGAGCCTCTGGCTATAAGTATTCGGCACCGTTCTTCAATTAGTGGCATTACAATCGGGTCTGTAGAGACCAGACTCTCCCTATATGTAGATGATTTGCTATTATTCTTAAAAGATGCTGTTGATTCTTTACCCCCCCCCTAATGGATTTGATAATCCATTTTGTTTCTTTTTCCGGGTATTCAATTAACTGGAAGAAAAGCATCTTCATCCCTCTTGGCAGTAATTTTCCTAATAATATTTTAGAGTCCATCCCTTTTAAAATTGTTCATGATCATTTTACTTATTTAGGTTTGGTTATTCCCACAGATCCAAAATACATATTTAAGCTTAATTTTATGGCTGCAATAAAAAGCCTGAAATCTACCATTGGAAAATGGAGGGTCTTGCCATTGTCCCTAATTGGCCGTGTTAATGCTATAAAAATGGTGGCCCTTCCAAGGTTTTTATATTTGTTTCTGAATTAACCAATCTATCTGACAAAATCTTTCTTTAGAAACCTAGATTCTAAAATTGTACATCGCATCTCTAAGGCTCATTTAGAAAAATCTAAAGAGTTGGGTGGATTGGCAATGCCAGTTTTTCAACATTACTTTTGGGCAGCAAATGTTAGGGCTTTGATGTATTGGAATCATGGCTTGCCTTGTTCTGATCAGAGGGCGGCGCATACTTCTAGCTGGATTCTTGTGGAATCTCATTCTTTAAAGAGAAGTTCTCTCCCTGCTCTACTATTAGCCAATTTGAGTGTTCCTTTAAAGAACATCACTAAAAATTTTGTAGTGCATAGCTCTTTAAGGATATTGAGACAAATTAAGAAATTTCTTGGTGTCACGCTGCCCTCCCTTCATTCTCCCATTTGTGAGAATCATAATTTTACACCGGCTTTGAGTGATAGAACCTTTCAAGTGTGGAATAATAAGGGTCTTTCCACATTTAACGACTTGTACACAGATGGTCAATTTTCCTCCTTTGATCATCTTCTTAGTAAATATCATCTTTCTCATTCTCATTTTTTTTTCGTTACTTGCAGGTTCAGCAGACGTTTTCTGACTATAAGATTCCGCAGGAAGAGCATTGTTTCTATAATTTAGTGCGACAAGCCCCAAACTCTTGGGATATGGTTTCACAATTTGTTTCCCTGTTCTCTAAGCAGGTTATTACATCTTCTGATTATCTTAGGGTAGCCTGGGAAAAGGATGCTGGTATCAGCTTATCTGATAACATTTGGTCTGAAATCTTGAAGAGAATACATAGCTGTTCCATCAATGCAAGACTTCAATTAATTCAGTTTAAAATTGTACAGAGATTGTATTATTCTAAAACCAGACTCCACAAGATCTACCCAGCTGTGTCTCCTATGTGTGATCGATGTCAAGTTGCAGAGGGAACTTTGTCTCATGCTTTTTGATCTTGCCTGAAACTCCAGAGATACTGGGAAGATATTTTCTCTTGGTATTCAGTGGCATATGATCAGACCCTTCCTCCTGAAATGGAATTGGCCATTCTTGGCTATTCTGACACAGTTTCCTCTTTGCCTTATCATTTGCAGTTGGCATTAATGTTGGGCATGGTTGTGGCCAAGAGAATTATATTAAGGCATTGGAAAGCCACTGCTCCCCCATGTTTTCAGAAATGGCTTGTGGAGATGGTCTCCGTTTTAAACCTTGAAAAAATTCGGCTTAATGAATCAAAGTCTCTTAATTTTTCCAAGATCTGGGGTCCCTTCCTCCAATATTTACAGAATAGTTGAACTTAAAGATGATTATACTATTTATAGTATTTATCTGTAATGGCTATGATTGCATCCCAAGTACTTTGTGTGCTAATTTTATCATCCAAGAATCTTAGACGAAAGATTTTAAGTGAAGGCTACTGTGAAGCAACATATGCAGAACATGAATGACACACAGTAAACATTTCAGTTTAGTGCATTTATTAGTTACTTAATAATATCACAATACAATAAACAACTTTCGTGCCCTTAATTGTCCTTACTTTACTGACCTTCCACAAAAGTGCTGCTGCATAGCGTCCTGGCACTACAATACATGATGCTATCTGTCACTGATGCCAGCACCCAAGCCTTATATGATGTGATACGTGTAGGTTCTAGATCGGCTCAGTGTCCGCTTTTAAAATCATAAGGTCGTTTCCGACATCCTTAAATAACACCCGACCGACTTTATCACTGTGTAGATACTAATAAGCCTCTGAGCTTTTCAAATTATTCATCGCCTTACCTTCACAGGCTAAGTTACAGAATCTACAAAATAGCTAAAAATGCTACCGTATGTGATACGAGGCCATTACCGCAGAGGGTAAAGGTACTGTTATTTCACCCTTTTTAAGTTAGTTGAAGTTGTGTTCCCACATTGTTAGCTAGTTTGGATAGCTAAATCTTGAATGACTGACTGTCAACTGTTGAATGAATGAGTATCACGTCCTGCTTGTTTACTTCAAACCGGAAGACGCTCCCACTTTTGACGCAAGGCCTCATGGGGCATAGGAAACTTGTGGATAGTGGTTGCTGAATAAACAAAAGATTTACTACTGATCACAGAACTGGCTTGAATCTCACAGAATCTCAAATGAATGAATGAGGTGTTTAAACATCGCTTACACTTTAAAAAGGGGGAGGAGACTGAAAGAAACTCTGGGTTTAACGAATAAATCACAAACCTCATAGAACGTGCTTTTGCTTTGAAAAACACAAGATTTCCAAACACAGTGGAATTTGGGGAAAAAAAACTCCTTTGACTTGAGCGTGTTTTTAGAATGCCGTGTCATGCTCGAGAAACTGCAAACGACATGAGACACGAGCGTGAAGGTAGTGCAATGGAGTGGAAAAGTCTGTGAAAAACTCTTAATGTGGCTTAATCATGTTCTAAAACAGCAACCAGGGAAAATCTATTTTCTCTCAAATTTCACTTGTCATAAACACTAGGCTATACTTCCAAGACAACCACACTGTGATCGAACTGCATATTTTTACACTTAACTGGCTTAGCTATGCATTAAGACAGTGGTATTAAAAGATCAAACTGCTGAAGAGCCCAGAATATGAACACAGCGCGCAAAGTTTTACGTTAAGCATTTATCTCCCACTGGGGAAAAAAAAGTAGTAACAATTGTTTAGGCTATGTTAAAGAGATATTTAGCTACTTGTTCTTACCCTTAAATTAGTTTTAATGGTGTAACCTAATATATTTATAATGTTAAATAAGATTTATTTTTTAAATGAGATTATTACCACATAAAGCACATTTTTAGATTATCATTACGCTTAACGTGGCTTATGCATTAACAATTGTTATCGTTCAGAAATGCGCTGAAGCCCGAAATACAGGAGATTGAGCATGGCTCCATTGCAGATCTTGCGCAGCTGTTGTTTATTAAACACCGCTCTATCCTGCCCAGTGTCCCCGATGTAGCAACAGCTCTCAAGTTGTTTCTGAATTTACCTGTAACGGTTGCAACTGCTGAAAGATCGTTCTCGAAATTGAAAGTGATCAAGACATTTCTCCGGAGCACAATGTCACAAGAAAGACTGTCCAGTTTAACGAAGGTTTTTAAATATAAAGTAGGCTTTAAATGTAGCATATATCGTAAAGTGTATTCCTTTAATGTTTTTCTCCTAGTTCTTTTACTGTTCATTTTCTTACTACACGACGTGAATTTCGCTTGCATAATTTATTTTCCCGAGACATGTCAGAAGCCATGTTCGTCCCTGAGCCAGTAGTCATGTCTGACAAGATCTAACATCCATGCCAGAGAGTGGAACTGGATACTGAGGACTGGGAAACAGAGATAGTGCTTCCCACCCTGCCCACCCACGAACCCACCATCGGTCCCTTCCTATGCTGTCTTCTTCATCGCCGTTGGTCCCACCCAGCTCAGAATCCTAGTAGTTGTCGCTGATCCTGCCCAGCTCAAGTTCTTTGTCGCCACCAGTCCCAGCCATCACAGAGTGTTCTTCCTCACCACTTCTGTCCAGCTCTGTTATCTTTGTCGCCACTGCTCCTTCCCTACACCAAGCTACTCCTGCCCACTCCTGGCTCCCTCCAATCCTCATCTCCACCATCAGCCCTGCCACGCAGCCCTAATCTGCCTTGTGGCTTCCGATCCGCCCTGGAGAGTTGACCCATTAGCTCTGAGCCCATTGCTCCACCTCGGCCCATCAACCAGTCTGTTCCACCTTTGCACCTTGCTCCCTCAGCTCTACCATGGGCCGTTGTCCCTCTTCTGATTCCACCAGGCATCCTCGTCCCTCCGTCTCTGCATTGGAGGTTTGTGGCTTGTCCCTTCACCCCTTCGGCTCCGGCTGGGCTAGTTTGGTTGTCCTAGTTTTTGTCCTCATTTTCCCGCAACTGGTTAGTTTCTTAGGTTACTCATTGGTTGTTTGTTCCTTTGTGTGTATAAATAGCCCTCAGTTTCTGTTGTTCATTTTCTGTTGTCATCGTTTTGGTTAGTTTGGTTAGTTTAACCAAAATCATTCTTGTCTTTTTGGATTATCTTTTTGAGTTTTAATAAAACTGCTGCAACTAGAATGAGCATTTCTCCTTCACTGCAACTGACCATGACAATGTTATTTGAAATTGATTTCTTGAACAACACTGGATATAGCTTTCACAGTTGTTAGCTGAAGTTAAACTGAGCAATATCATGTGCAGGAGTGCTGTTATGAAAATTATCACGGCTGTAATTTGTCTGTAGATATCCGTTCTATAAACAGGTACTTTTTAGGCAAAATTGACCAGTTCGTTTTTGTTTATATTCTGAGCTTTCTACTGGAATCTGATCAATTTGTTTTGCAGAAGTCAGTGTTAATCATTGTAGTGATCAGTCCAAAGTATAAGACAGATGTTGAGGGAGATGGATCTGATCAACATGGACTACACACCAAGTACATACACACTCAGGTGAGACCTGGCTGACAGCTGTCTCTTCTCATCCTTCTAGAGATCTGTGTAAAAGCTTCTTTAAATGTTTTGATAAGGTTGATCTTATAAGATACAGCATTTTACCATCAGGGAATGCTGTTGATGAAGTTATAACTAGTCACATTGTTTTAATTATTCTGAGCCAATATCTCTAACACACTTCAAAGGTATTATGTCGAAAACTGATAACTCCAAAAATGGCGATTTTAACAGTGTTGTGTAGGTTTTGACACCCACTATATATAGATCTACTTCTCCTTTGGGTTAGCGGTGCAAGTTTTTGATTGTTTCCTTTTTTCAGATCCAAAATGAATTCATTCTGCAGAGATGTCTAAACTTCAGATTGGTACCAGTGCTGTTTCCCAGTGCTAACCAAGTAAGTCACCAAAAAAAGAAGAAAAAAACCCTCTGCTGAGGGCATGGGATGTTAGACATGTTTAGTAAGGAAATTAAATACATAAATATGTACAGTATGTATGAAGAGTATTATTAGTTTAAAATCTGTTGCTTTTTTTCTGGCAGAGTCATGTTCCACTCTGGCTACAGAGCACACGTCTGTACAGGTGGCCTGAGGATGCTAAGGACCTGTTACTGCGTTTACTCAGGGAGGAAAAATACATTGTCCCTCCTCTGGGCAAAGAGCTGATGCTCACTATCAAACCCCTGTAAAAGTGAATCTTGTGAAATCATGTCTAGTTCACATTTCACCTCAAAATCAAAAGAAAAGATAAGAAAATTATATTTTGTTCAAATATATATTTTGTTTTCTTTTAGGACCATAATTTCTTGATTTTTTAAAAATGAGAAGTATGAACATTGTCCCTCCAAATATAAAAAAAAATCGTATTATTCTCAATAGTGATTTCTCGTAGCTGATTTTTTTTTTTTGTACATTTTCTTTCTATTTCATTCATTTGATTTTGGGATGAAAGGTAACCCCAACGTGGTTTGTCAGATTAACCCATAATCCCACTGCATTAATACTCTAGAAACATTTCACAACAACTACAGGTTAATAGTTGTAAACTGTTTTGGAGCTGCAATAAATGGCCTGTAAATTAATCTCAATACCAACTCAGAAGCTGCTTGTGAAAAAAGCTACTTTTGTAATGTCTATTTGATATGCTTTTCTCATTTAACACAATAATTACTTGAAATTTTCTTTTGGGGGTAATTTCTCAGCTAAATTTTATGTGTAATTTAGGTGAATAAAGTGAATGCAAGCATACATATACTGTAAAGCTCCTTTCCCAGCGGTAGTTACTTTGTATATGCTATGTAAAGTGTTGCACTTATTAAAAATGGTTCTCACTTTTGAAGAGAGTTCTTATTTGCAATGCAGAAAGACAATTATAATGTGTTAGTGGTTTTATGCATAAGTATACAGTTTGTTAGAGCATACACAGCAAGAGTATGCTAGTGAGTTTAAGCGAAGAAAGTGAAAGAAAGCACACGTTTTAAAGCTTCTTTGCCAGCGAGAATTAGTTTGCACATGCAGTATAAATAGTGGAGCTTGCACTTATTAATAATATTTGTCACGTTTTTGTGAAGTACAATCCAAATAAAGCACACAAAGAAGGTGGTTCACAAGGAGTTTTAATAATCACACAAAGCAACAAACTACACATTACCATAAACGAGACCAAACAATGAACAGAAGAAAATCAGGGCTTAAATAGACAGATTAGAAAATTCACGAGTTTGCACTTACATACACATTAATGAGCTATTCCATTATGACCACCTATCTAATAACTAATACATCTTCAGCTACTATAGATATGGGGTATTGTCAAGAGGAAAATGAGAAACGAGAGACCAAAAAATGCAGATGAGCTGAAGGCCACTGTCAAAGAAACCTGGGCTTCCATACCACCTCAGCAGTGCCACAAACTGATCACCTCCATGCCACGCCGAATTGAGGCAGTAATTAAAGCAAAAGGAGCCCCTACCAAGTATTTAGTACATGTACAGTAAATGAACATACTTTCCAGAATGCCAACAATTCACTAAAAAAATTTTTTCGAAGTATTCTAATTTGTTGAGATAGTGAATTGGTGGGTTTTTGTTAAATGTGAGCCAAAATCATGACAATTAAAAGAACCAAAGACTTAAACTACTTCAGTCTGTGTGCATTGAATTTATTTAATATACAAGTTTCACAATTTGAATTGAATTACTGAAATAAATGAACTTTTCCACAACATTCTAATTTATTGAGATGCACCTGTATATTCAAAGAGTTAGAAACTTGAGATAATGTGCTTGTTAATGTTTGCTAATAAACTTATTAAACATTACACTCAAAAAACAAAAGGTTCTTCAGAGGTTCTTTAGAGTGGTTAAGGTACTGTATAGCACCACTACCGTATAAAGAACCTGTTAAGCCCCTGTATGGTTCTTCAGCGGTTCTTCAACGGTTCTTTGTAGTCGATGAGGTGCTATATAGCACCACTACCGTAAAACCTGTAAGCCCCTGTATAGTTCTTTAAAGGTTCTTTAACTCTCGCTTAGTTTCTTAGTTTAGTTAGGGAAAGGGTTCAAACAACATTAAAATACAGTCTATTTCTTGAAGATATAATTTTTTTTTTGCCCCCGTAAGGAAATATTCCAGGGCCCCAACATGAGACCTTTGACCTCAGAAAAAAAGTCCCTCTCCACAAACAGCAACACCAACTTCACACATTACTAACCAGTTAGACTTTATTTCTGGAGTATCTAAAACATAAGTTCTTTATTGAGAATTAAGGTTTAGATGTTTTTTTTTCAACTTACCGTTTTGGTGAATAGTGTTGACCCTTGACTTTAACTTTAAATTAAAATAAGTTTCACTTTGGCTATCACAGCAGAGTTTAAAAAGCACATATGGTTGCATTTTATCAAAATCTGTAGCTCTTTTATGAGTTTTATGTTATTGCAGTTAAATCGTACGATAAGAAACTAACCTGATTTTAGCGAAGAAATCATAATTTCTGTTGTTAGTAGAGGGTACGGCTTTTCTGATGGGTAAACCTCAGATTAGCAGCCCATATAAATGGTACCAGAATACATCAGTCTGATCTTGGGCGAAGAAATCCCCTTTTTCAGCACTGTGTAGGTGATCTGAGCGATATTCCTCATTTCATTAATTTAAGGCCTTATTATGTGTTACGTATCATTGTATTTCATTTTGATTTGTTCATGTGAAACATTTACGTAAAATTAATGGTGTTATTCTAGTGTAGCTAACTACGAATCCACCATTGCCTGTGAAGTGAATGTGCTGTTTTGATTAATGAATGAATTTGTATGGGACATGTCATAACTGACTGTTATGCCCCGCACGAGTTTCGCATGCATGCTCACGGCAGTGCAAGTTCTGCAACCCTTGCACCTGGTGTGAGTTTGCATCGGTCTCCTAGCAACACGTGACCCTACCCACATACTGTAGTTTTACTTGTGTTATTGTTTATTTTTGTTTTGACTTTATTCTACCTTTCTTTAATTTTATTGCATTTATTTACATTTGTTTGGCACAAATGTACCAATACAGCTAAATTGATTTTGATTAAATTAATTTAATTAAATTAATTAAATCCATTTTTATTTTATTTTTTTTATTTACTTTCCCTTTTTAATTTCCTACAGATATTAGGACCCCTTTTGTTTGTTTTGTTCTACTTTTACCTTATTTTAGTTATTTTTACTATCACCATCTTTGCGTTTTGTATAGGATTACAGTAGTTCTAGCAACTGTTGTTTCCTTAATGAATTATACAGGTTATTAGTAGCCTAATCCCTGTTTCCTCTCTACTTTCTCCTCACTCCTCAGTGGCAGACCTAATACATTGAAGGGCAGCTACTGTTCAACACAATGTAGGTCAAGATAGAACTAGGAACAATTCCCACTGTTTCTTTTTCTTTTGATGAGGTATTTGGTGGGTCCCTGCTAGTTTAGCTAACAGTCTAACCCTAGGTTTATGAAGTCTATTGCAGCATCACCCACAAGTGACACCTGCTTAGCCACATCTCTTAGAAAAAAAAAAACTAAAATAGGAAAAATCTTCCTTTTCTTTTTTTTCTCTTTTTTTTGAGTTCATCTTATTTTATGTCAGTTTCGTCATAGTGACCAAACCCGTGAACCATCAGTGCTTTAAGTAATAGTTTGACTACATGTATAGCCCGGTCATCAGCTGACCCCTGCTTACGGCCCCCTCAACAAAGTTACTCAAACTCTCTCTTTGTATTCACGAACACAAAACCGAATCCAACTCCATACCGAGAAAAGAGATCCTCTGCGTCGGGGAGAGTTTGCTCTTTTCCCAGTTGACCCGAAGGCCCAACAGGCTGAGGTGCCGAAGCACCAGGTCCCTGTGCTCGCACAACTGATCCTGAGACTGTGCTAGTATAAACCAATCGTGCAAGGCTCACCTGGTTCCACGGGTTGGCAGAGGGTGCGTGAGTAGGGCCTTTGTTGACGCTCTCGAACCGCCCGCTGCTGCCATCTGGCGAAGGAGGAGGATGAGTGAGGTCCAGCATTAGTCCGTCCGCAACTCTCCGTGCCCTCCTGGGACCCAGAGATAAAGGAAACTGCTCTCTTGTCGAGAATTTGGGCACCGTCGGCCGTGAGGCCAACGGCAGGAAAAAATGAAACAAAAGATTCTCCGCTCGGCCCTCCTCCGGGGGAGGGAGTGGTGCATTCACCATCTCCCGAAGAGCAGATCCCTCCATCCCTGGGTCGCCTGTCTCAGGGCCACTTGCTTCTCTGCTTGCCGGGGGCCTGGACAGGCGGGGCGGCCCGCCCACACCCGTCTCCACGACGCCGCTTTGCTGAAGGCTGCTGCGGATGTGGCGCAGGAGTGGGGGTGGACACAGGGGCCCACCCTCGGCGACGAACAGGCTGGGGCGCTGCAGACGGATGGAGGCAGCAGCTGTGTCGGATCGCCTCAGTCTGCTTCTGGGCAGCCGAGAACTGCTGGGCAAAGCTCTCGACTGCGTCGCTGAAGAGGCCGGTCTGGGACACAGTGGTATTGAAGAACATTGTCGTGTCTCACATGTCTGCCAGACACAGCCAGAGATGGCGCTCCTGGACCACAAGCGTGGACATCGCACGACCCAGGGAACTCGCGGTGACCTTCGTCACTCGGGAGCGCAAGGTCAGTGGTGGTTCGGAGCTCTTTCAGAACTTCCAGATCGTGACTACCCTCGTGCAGGTCCTTCAGTGCCTTAGCCTGGTGCACCTGCAGTAACGCCATAGCGCGTAAGGCGGAAGCAGCTTCCCCGCAAGCCGTATAGGCACTGCCGTTTAAACCAGACGAATGCCTACAGGCCCGGGAAGGAAGTACCGGGTCTCCCCGCCAGGAGGAGGTGGACTTAGGACACAATTGCATCGCTACTGCCCGCTCCACCTGGGGGAATCGCCGAATACCCCTTCGCTGCACCGCCGTCGAGGGTGGTGAGGGAGGAGGAGCCCACCGGCCGGTTTCTGGAAGAAAAAGGTGCCGTCCACGACCTGGTGAGCTCGTCATGCACCTCCGGGAAGAAAGGCACCGGGGGGGGGCGCTGAGAACCAGCGCGAGCCACCCAGAGAAACCAGTCATCCAGCCTTGAGGGCTCGGGACGAGGTGGAGGTTTCCACTCGAGCCCGACTCTTTCGGCGGCCCGGGAAAGCATAGCTCTCATCTCCGGATCAGATTCAGGCTTTGCCACCGATCCGGAGGGCGGCAGCGTGGCCGAATCCTCATTTGACAGTTCTCCCTCCGATGCTGAGATCGACATCTGGTCGG